ATATATATACAAGGAAATATTATTCGGCCTTAAAAAGGAAGGAAATTCTAACACAGGCTACAACATAGATGAACCCTAAGGACATTACACTAAGCAAAGTCAGACACAAAAAGATAAATAAGGTATGATTCCACTTACATGACATACCTAGAACAGTCAAATCCATAGAGAAAGAAAGAAGAATGGTGGTTGCCAGGGGCCGGGGGGAGAGGGCATGGGAAGTTGTTGTTTAATGGATACACAGTTTCAGTCTGGGAAGATAAAAGTTCTGGAGCTGCATGGTGGCGATGGTTGCACAACACTGTGAATGTCTTTAAAAGCACTGAACTGTACAGTATACAATGGTTGAAATCATAAATTTTTTATGTATATTTTACAACAAACATGTCAAATCTTTTAAAAGGAGAAAGAAAAATAGTTATCTAACATGTAATAATAGTTTTTTAGCATCAAAATACTTTAAATATTGTCTATATAATAAATAAGAGTTATCAAGCTAAAATGAGAATTTTTACCTAACGCTCCTCAAAATCACAATATTTTTGTGTCTCCAATAACCAGAGTTTGATAGTTTAGCCACCAGAAGTTAACAGGCAGAACTCCCAGCACAAACACTGTAATTTATTGAGTATTAAATAAATGAAGACATGAGACGTCAAGGGGGCTTTCTCTGTGTTGTTTTTACTAGGAAAAGCCCTTCAAGAAAATTACACCGGAATGAGATTTATGAAATTGGCTTTGTCTTTTAGCTGACACTCTCCCCTGTTTGTTCTTGCCACTGCAATCACCCTTGCATTGCTGGTCAACCTCTATCACCACCCTTTGGTGTTCTGAGTATCCAGAACTACTGTGCCATGTGCTTTGTATTACATCACCAGAGTCTCTGGGATTGTCTACAGCCCACAAATTACAACAATGCCATGGATACCCAAATTGTACCTAGGGGGCACAGAATGACTTCCTTTAGCCTGACCAAGTCTAAAAGGCAATCACTATATTTTCTACAATACAAAGGAAAAGTCACTAGCTTTTAACAAACATAAAATTTCAATTTGATTGTCATCTAATTTTTGGCCATTCCTGCTATAAATATGTACAAGAAAGTAGATCAGTTTCACCCAAAATTAGTCAAAGAATCTACTTCTCTAGTTGTAATTATACTAAAATATTATCATTTGGCTACTCAGGAAGAAAAATAGACTTCAAAAATAAGCAGAAATGGAATTTCTCAAATATCCAATACTTGTTTATAGTATAAATATGAAGTAGAATTTAGGGAGGTGGACAGACATGGAAGCTAATATGCCCAATAAACATAGAGTTATATAGCAGCAAGTCCTTAAAAAATGATCAGAATAGCCAGCCTGGTGTCTGCCACAATCTTCTCTTGTTACTTTCACTTAAAACAAGAGAAAATTAATTACATAAATTTCTGTGCCTTTGTTCAGTACTATTCTCAGCAACCTTTGTTAATCTCTTGAGCACCTCAACTCAGTTCACTAAAGATTAGCAATACATGAGCCACTACTGCCAAAACACAGTGAATATCCAAACCTTTTTCCCCTTCAAAAAGAATCCCCCTCTTTTGAGGACTTCACACTTACCATAGAAGGCTATTTCAACTGGGAGTTTGTATGTTTGTAGAGAGCAAACAGAACAAGATAGGAAAGTATACATAATTTAAATGAAACTGAAATTATTCATCTGTAGGATCCCTTCAAATTTCTGATGTGGAGCTTAATTATCTTTGAGATTGATGAAACTGCCAAAGCCCTAGCTCACTGCACAAGCACCTCACACTTGCTCACTCAATAAACACGTATGAAGCACCTACTCCTTGACATGTACTATTCTAGGCATTGAGGATAGAGAACTGAATGAAACAACGTTGTTGTCTTCAGGGAGTTTACATTCTACTGGAAGAAGCCATGTAACAAACAAATACGCAGTATGTCAAATGGTTGCAAGAAAATGGGGAAAAAAATAAATAAATAAAGCAGAGTAAGGGAGACATTCTACATAAAATGGCCAGAGAGAACTTTTCTGATAAGGTGACCTCTGAGTAGAGAGTATTTGGAAGAGTATTTGCAGGAGTGAGGCATGAGGATCTGGGCTGAAAACATAATAGGCAGAAGGAAAAACAAAGGCAAA